GTTATAATGTTTCGATACTTTTTTTGAGCTAAGAACCAAATCGCAAAATTTGGAGAAGTGTGAAAACCGAGAGAAATAGCGGCGTTCCAATCTGTGCAAAGGAACTGCTAAGTGCAAAAAGAAAGTCGGGTTGTTCGCTGAATGAAATCCTTCAGCGTCCCTCGTGTGAAATGCTTTAATAAGATCCCTTTTAATACTCATGATCAGGACACTGAAGTAATTCTTAAACTATGTGTATTGTACAGACAAAATATTGTACATGGGGCTGCCAGGCTTCATTGCATCATTGTACACTAATTGTATATCATTGTGATGATTTACCACATTGCTTAACCCAAGGTGGGAGTTGTGGTTTAAGTGAGGGTCTTCCCCATTTCAGTTCCTCACTCTTTCTACTCTGTCCACACTGGCTACTCTTAAAATAATCTACTTTTTTGTTGAAGGACTTCAAATAGAACCCAGAAAGCCCATCGCAAACCATTTAAAAAGCATTAAAAGTTATAGAGCTGGTCGCCATTTGAGCAAGATCCCCATCAAAGCCAGCTGAATGTGAGTGAAATCTGAACAGTAAGACATAATGTTTTTAAATTTCAATTAGGACAAGTGCCCTTTACATCTTTTGAGATAAAAGAAATAAAAATGACAGTAGAACAGTCATGAATATGTTGGATCCATACAAGCTTTTAAATATAATTTCCGCTTGTCAACATTATTCCAGACATTTTTATTACTAAAGACGGGATCAATTTTGGTAAAATGGATTTTATGAACGCTTAGCAATCCTACACCCAAGGATAACATACTTTCACTGTGCGCAGAACGTTGCACTTAAAGGTTTCCGAATGCTGATAGTAGTGTTTTGCTTTACCAGAAAGGATGTAAATGGTTTTTTGTTTGAGAGAGAGAAATTGATATGACTGAACTCATAGCACTATATACTCCTGAGCACATGCAGCTATTTCATAGAATCATAGACTAGTAGAATTGTAGAGTTGGAAGGGAGCCTGAGGATCATCTAGTCCAGGGGTCTGCAACCTTTAAGACAAAAAGAGCCACTTGGACCCGTTTCCGAAGAAAAAAAAACTGGGAGCCGCAGAACTCGTCATTATAAAAATAACTTTTTTGTCACTTTTTATTATTTCTTTGTTTGACCCCTCAGAATTACTCCTCCTCATAGAAATAAACGTTAAATTAACAAGTTACCTTTTTGTGTGTGTGTGTTCTTCACTCCCCTTCAAAACAGTGGCCAGCGTACATGCCCCCTTTCAATGCAGTGACCAGCGTACATGCCCCTTACAATGTAGCGGGCGGGCAGGCAGGTGACGTCAGGACGGTGTGTGACTAATGCACGCACCGCCCCCATGCGACGTCACAGCCAGTACAGCGCCCACCACAGTGGGGAGTGTCGGGGCGCACAATGCGCCTCCTCCCCTCACTAGTATCCGCCCCGGAGCCGCGGCAAAGGTGTAAAAGAGCCACATGCAGCTCTGGAGCCGCGGGTTGCAGACCCCTGATCTAGTCCAACCCCCTGCAATGCAGGAATATGTAGCTGTCTCATACGGGGATTGAACTACAACCTTGGCATCACCAGCACCAAGATCTAACCAACTGAGCTATTACTCAATCAGACCCTACTAAGGGGCTTCTCAAGGTGTGCTACCACAATAGAGCTGATGTAGTCAACGTCTGCCATCCAGCTATTGGTGGTCTATAATTCCCTTCACCCCTGACTATTGACCATGTTGTATGGGACTTACAAAAGTTGTAGTCCAACAACATCTAGAGCAGCAGTGGGGAACCTCTGGCCCTCAGAACTAATTCGGACCTCCAAGTATCCCAATTTGGCCCACAGGGCTGCTTAAGACAATCCATGCTCACCTGCCCTACACCAAAGACGCAACCAGGTTTGTACACACCTGTGCTTTTGCAGGTACCACCGATCAGCTGATCATTGGTACCTGCAAACCATTGGGCCCACACAGCTTGATTTCAAACTGTAGGCAAAAATGGGTCACTTGATGTGATTGTGATTGACAGGTCTTGACCCCAGAGGGTGAGTAGAGAGATCGGGCTGCAGAGAGACCTGACTATGAAGAAACAAACAAAAGTGGCAGCGGATAGGGAAGAGAACATGGGAAGAGGGGAAAGAGAGTATGGTTTGGAGAACAGGCTGGGAAGGAAATAGCAGACCCTCTGAGTGTCTCTATTTTCCAGGGACAGTCTCGGATTTACTGAAGCTGTCCTGGTTTCTGATTTGATCCCAGAATGTCCCACTTTTCCTTAGGACGTCCCTATTTTCATCGGAGAAAAGTTGGAGGGTATTAAATAGTGCATTATAGCAAAAGAAGAAGATGGGGGGGGAGAGGTCTCTCCTGCTAACAAACCATTTAATAAGCATATTAAAGTGGTCGTCAGAATGATGTCCTTTGAGCACTCCTGCAGGACTTCCTTGAGACTACAAAGGCTAGGTACCTGTTTTTCAAAAAAGCACAGCTGGCTCCTTTGAACACATGCTAGTACTTTTTTTGAAGTTACGGTCTTGCATTTATCATGGCACAATTCCATTGATATTCCAATCTTATGAACTTCAAAGGGCTTGCACACGAAATGAAAAGGAAGAGAGATGTCTCTTCTTCCATCTTGATACTAAAGAGCAGGGGTGGGATGCCTTAGGACCAGGGCCAGAATGTGGCCCTCTAAGTCTCTGTCTTTGACCTTTGTGACTCTTTCTAGGCCACAGCCTCTCTCTTCAGACCATACCCCTAACTGGTTCTGCTGTGGGCTTTTGGCTGACTGGAATCACTACAGTTTCTTGGATAAACACCAGATATACAGTGGTACCTCAGGTTAAGTACTTAATTCGTTCTGGAGGTCAGTACTTAACCTGAAATTGTTCTTAACCTGAAGCACCACTTTAGCTAATGGGGCCTCCTGCTGCTGCCGCGCCGCCAGAGCACGATTTCTGTTCTCATCCTGAAGCAAAGTTCTTAACCTGAAGCACTATATCTGGATTAGCGGAGTCTGTAACCTGAAGCGTATGTAACCTGAAGCGTATGTAACCCGAGGTACCACTGTATCTGGATCAGAAAATCAAAGGGCTTATGTAACCAAGCATTCGCCCTGATTTGTTTGAACAAAGTTTGCAGGGACGTTTTACAATGTCACCTGCTTGCTGAGCATTCATTCTGATTTGTTTGCAGGGACAGTTGCATTAAGCAATTGTCACTCCACACTTCCCATTGCCTGTACCATTTATGTCAAAGGCCAATCCCTGCTCCCCTATGAAGCTGGTTTGTTGTGCAGCAACACCCAATCCACTTCATCTGCACAACCTGAAGTTGCTGGAAAGCTCTTGAATCCCAGATACAAAGCAACAAAAGTCTAGAAGCAGCTTATCTTCACTTTACTTCCATTTTCTGCAAAGCATTCCAAAAATGTGCTATACAGTGGTACCTTGGTTCTCAAATGCCTCAGTACTCAAACAACTTGGAACCCAAACACTGCAAACCCAGAAGTAAATGTTCCGGTTTGCAAAAAATTTTCGGAAGGTGTTATGCTTTTGAGTGTTATGCTTCCGATTTGAGAGCCACACTTCTGTTTTGAGTGTTACACTAAGGGCTGTCTGTTTTTGCTATTTATTTTTGTGGCTCCTTTTTGTGTGTGTGACTGTGTGGAACCCAGTTCAGCTACTGATTAATTGATTGATTGTGTGACTGCAGTACATTGTTTATGCTTTCATTTTATGGATCAATGCTCTCGTTAGATAGTAAAATTCTTGTTAAATCGCTCTTTTAGGGGTTGTATTTAAAGGTCTGGAATGGATTAATCCATTTTGCATTACTTTCTATGGGAAAGCGTGCCTTGGTTTTGGAACGGACTTCCGGAATGGAGTAAGTTTGAGAGCCAAGGTACCACTGTACTGTGGCTTACGTGAAGGTAACTGTTTATATCGGGCACCAAATGAATTATTTTCCTACAGAGAGTGATAATTTGTCTTTCTGTTGACTCATGCCCGGGGTCAGAAAAGCAAGAGGGCTAAACCTGATCGTTCTCTTTGAAAGAGCCAGCTGTCTTTGTTTGCTTAGAAAGATGAATGTAATTTGGTTTAGACAATGCTTCACATCCACCGTGTTTCCCTTATTACATTAGATCAATGAGGTTCCATATTTACTGTAGATGCTGTATGTAGATCTTGCATCTCTTTAATTTCTCCTGAAATATACAGCCAGATTATATTGGGCCTTGTGTGTTCATGTCCACCTTTGATGTATTGTTTTGTAACGCCCCTCCCCTGCGTGGAGTGTTCTGAGATTTCGAAAGCCCTGTGTCAATATTAAACATTAAACAGTAATTATGCACTTTTAAACTTAGTTTCTGTTGACACAGTGATGCTAATGGGGTGCTGTCAAGCGGACTGGCTGACAAGAAAACACCACTTTTGGCAAAAGGAACTAGCTGAGCCTTTGGTAAATAGGCACTGGGTCACTCAGAAATAGTAAACTCTAAGTTCACGTCTTCCGTGATTCCAGCCCTCTTCATATTAGTAAGTAGAACATGTGAATGGGGACAACATGAAGGACCATAATATAGCTCCTCCAGTCACTCCATTGATCTCTAAGAATTGGAGGGTGATTGTCTAGGTTCCACACGTGATTGATGTTTATTAACTGGTTGGCCTCTGTTATTTTCTTCTACCAATAGGGAACCTACTTAAGGACTCAGTATGGGCTCTTGGGTACCCCATAAGGGAAAAGGAGCAGGTTTTTTCTATATCACCTGGAAAATCATGTGAGAAGTCTTTGCACTGCAAAGGGGTGACATCCAACCTGTGTAGAATGATGGAACAGCAATTTGGGGAGGAGGGAGGAGGGAGGGGTGGCTAGCATGTTCACTCTTGCTATCCCTACTTTCATGTTTCATTTACTTTAGAATCGGAATCATAGAAGAGTTGGAAAGGACCACAAGGATCATGTGGTCCAACCCTCTGCAATGCAGGAATATGTTGCCCAACATGGGGCTCAAACCCACGACCATAAGATTAAGAGTCTTCTGCTCTACCAACTGCGCTATCCCTGTGAGAGCAATATTTCAATGGTGCACTTGCAGATGCAAAGAATAACACTGTGGCTTGTGCATCAACTCCCAGCAAGAGGAGTAGAGCCAACAGGACCTGTCATGTAGAAAGCACATAGGCCATGTCTAATGGTGTCTCAGAAGCAGGCTGGGGTCAGTCCTGAGCATATCTGAGAGCAGAGGTTATATGAAGTATTCTGACAGCTTCTAGGAGCCACAGGTGAGAGTGGCATGCAGGGTGCGTACCAAAGATGGATTAACTACCCCAGAAAGAACATGATGTTGCACAAAATTGGAAGACTGGAGAAATACCAACTAAAGAACAATGGCAAGAGAAGTTGGTGAACTATGCAGAACTGGCAAAAATGACAGATAGACTAAGAGAAAAAGAAAACAGCGACTTTGAAAAAGAATGGGAACCATTTATATTATATTTGCAGAAACAAAGAAAGTCAATAGACTTGATGGCAGGATTTAAATAAACATTCACATTATTAGTATTAGAAAATGTTTAGAAAATAGTGAAATATTATAGTGTATTTACTTTTATGTTTTTAGGCTTGATGTTATGTTATTAATAACTTTTTCTGTTAGGAGATAGCAAAGTGGGTGAAAAGAGAAACAAACCAGAAGCAGAAGTTGGGGGAAGCCCTGGAGGGGAGGGAGGGGGGAATATATAGTAAATGTTATGAAATTGAGATGCATGTAATGAATGAAAAAGAAAAATGAATAATTTTTTTTAAAAGAACATGATATGTCCCCCACCAGAGGTCTTGCCCCTCCCCCATTCACTGCAGCAGGAGTGTGGCAAGTCAGTAATGTCACATGACATAGGTTTACTAATGTACATCAAAAAGGATGGTTTTTTAAAAGGTAGTTTTTGTGTTCACGAACTCTTAACTAAGTAACAGTAAGAGCTCTTAACTTAAGGTAAAGGGACCCCTGACCATTAGGTCCAGTCGTGGCCGACTCTGGGGTTGCGGCGCTCATCTCGCTTTACTGGCTGAGGGAGCCAGCGTACAGCTTCCGGGTCATGTGGCCAGCATGACTAAGCCGCTTCTGGCAAACTGGAGCAGAGCACGGAAACGCCGTTTACCTTCCCACCGGAGTGATACCTATTTATCTACTTGCTCTTTGACATGCTTTCGAACTGCTAGGTTGGCAGGAGCTGGGACCGAGCAACGGGAGCTCACCCTGTCGCGGGGATTCGAACCGCCAACCTTCTGATCGGCAAGTCCTAGGCACTGTGGTTTAACCCACAGTGCCACCCGTGTCCCTGCTCTTAACTTACAAAAGAGCTAATGATGAATTATTCACTTCTAAGTCCCACTGAGTACACTGGGGCTTACTCCCAAGTAAGTGAGTATAGCAGAGGTTCAGGGAAAATTTAGTCCATCAGAGACCCATGAGCTTCCGTCTTATTGTCCACAGAGTGCCTGTATAAACACAGTAAAAACAGGAACATACAGCACAGCATATTAAATTGCTACAGCAGGACGAAAAATCATTACGTGCTCCCCAAGACCCTCAGCAATTTTCAAGTGGTTCGCATGGGGGAGTTTGCATACCACTGGGGTGCAGGATCGCAGCTTTAATCCTTAAATAAAAAATGTAAAATCTGTAAGAAGCTAGAACCCATGACCTGCCCACAATTCAGATTTGCAAAGATCGGAACGCAGCCGCTCTCACAGCTTTACAAGACATACAACATTCTTTTTCTCTCTTCCTTAAAATATAAAATAAAAAATCTTTTCCATTCCTAGTTGTTCATAGCCTGCTAATTCAGTGAAAAAGACCTGCTGCTGGACTTGTGACAAATGGGATTACAAAGATGGTTTATTCAGCCATTGTATTGTGTCTAAGAGGTCTTTCTAGAAGCTAAACCCCTCGCTGCTGTGGGAAGCACTAATTGCCCATTTGCTGTAGTAACCTTTTAAACTGGACAGCATCTCCTATCTGATTTAATTTTGACAACTCTCTCTTTTTAAATCATAAGTGTGCTTGCAAGGAAAGCAAAGTGTGAAGCACTTTATATTGCCAGAAGAGACCTGCTCTTCTTTATAGAGTTTGAACGGTAAAAAAACCAGGGTGGAAGCAATTCCTGTTTTATTCACATTATGTCTCCTTGCTGGGTGGGTATCAGCTGCAGAGAACATATTGGGCATGCAGATGCAAAGCATCCAGTACAATTGTCATTTACAATTTTCTTTTGGGGGGGTGCACCCTCATATGTTCCCTTGGGAATATGTTCAAGTTCAATAATTTCACACAAGCATATCATGGTTTTCTCTTAATATTAGTAATATATTCCTCACAAAAGAGCATGTGAAAGATCATATGAAACATGGAAATTATCAGATAAGGAAACATTGGAAAAAATGAATAAAATGTTAACTGAATGCAGCCTTGGGTTGCATTCACACAGCAATTTATTCCATTTCCCTGTTTCTGCATTATATTGGAACTTCCATACAACCAAAAATCTGCTTTTGGAAATCTAGCAGGACCTATTGGAAGCTTAGCACTCATTTCCATGTTAATAGCTTCCAGGAAAATATGTGTTTACAACCCTCATTAACCCAGAAAACCATAGGAGTACAGTGATGAAATTTCGGGAGATGTACCGGCATACAGTTCTTTCCATCCATTTTTCATGTGTGAATCTTGAAGGAACAGAAGCGTGCAATTTTAGAAAGGGTGGGGATTAAGAACCTTGTCCAGTTATGTTCGTTGTTGCACCATACCACACCCATAAACTTTAGTGTGGCACGCTGGTATAAACGCCACAGTTCCACAATGCAGCAAGTATTTCAGTGTGAAAGAAACATTAGAAAACAGAATATTTCCCTATGTGTGGATGTACTCTTAGTCTTCAATCGCTGCATCTCCAGTGCCCCTCTCTTCCTCCTCCTCTATCTGGGTTTCTACTGCATGTTTCACCTCTACGCTGCTAGTTCCAGCCTCCGTCATTTGCTTTGCATCGAGCCCAGCTGAGCCACCAGTCTGAACAGCACTGCACTCCAAACTGGTGTCCTGACATGGCCTTCCCTGGAATTGGAATTGGTTGCGTGAGAGGGGTAGGGATTGGTGGGTATGGAGAGCACTAACAGAGCTTGCAGGACAGCCCTGATGGCCCCCACAAATGCCCATTTCTGTTTCTCTGGCAATGCAGATGCAGATGCCTCCTCAGACAGCTCATGGCATCTAGCGTATTGAAGCCGGCATTTGGGCAAAGAATCCCAGCTTCTTGATTCTGCAGGCTGAGGGGGTTCCGCTAAGAGCCAGCAAGACACATGGGCCCTAGCTGCTGGGGATGGTTGACAGAGACGAGATCCGCAACCGCAGCCCACCTGAGAAGGGGTGAGTGGCCATTGTTGTGTGTGATTGTACCTGGCTCAGAGTCGACCTAGGTCTCTCTAAGTCTGCAGCTGTGGAGGTGTAAATTGAGATGTTGAATGCCTGTGAAAGGGGGCCACTTCCTTTGCTGCATTTCTAAATTCACGTTTTGAAGACCCGTGTCAGGAAGTTGTCAGAAAATAGCTGGAGTATAGAAGAACTGGCTTTGTACTTGGAAAATGCTCAGTCAGAGAGTCGTAAATGGCATAGAAGGATTTACTCCAGAAGAGTTGTCAGATGTGTGTGTCTCACTGATTTAATTATCAAAAACATAGGTTTGGAAAAAGGCCTTCTTATTTACATTTGACATTTCAAGCAAAAGAATAATCAAGGAGTATTTCTTAAGAACCATCCATCTGTCACAATGTTTTATACAATATGGTATAGCCTGCAAAAAGTTTGTGGTGTCCATTATGGAGCTAATGGATACTAATTTTTAAAGAAAATACAGTGGATTATTGTGCTGTGATGCACATGGATTAAACTGAAGCTGCGTACCCATTTACTCCAGCTCTAGCTCTCTCACACCATTGGTTTTTGAATCCATGTACACACAATGTGTCAGGGAGTGGACAGAGGAGGAATGGTGGAGACTGCCTCCCTTTGTGACCCTTCCAGAGAAGAGGAAGACAGTTCAGAATTACAACAGGGGTTTGCGGAAGGTTACAGCTCAGAGGCTGAAGAGGGGGAAAGTTGGGAGATGATGGAAGAGGAGGAGGCAGAGGCAGAGGCAGAGCAGCTGGCTGACACGTTATCACTAGAAAGCATTCCAGACCCCTCTTCTCCCAGAACCCGGCAAGCATTGAAAGTAGGAGAGCAAAGGGCTCGAAGACAAATGGTCCTAGGTGGCCACCATAAGGTGGGTGGTGCTGTTGATGATTGAGGAGAGAAGGGGAGTGGAGATTACTCAGAGCAATGCCATTACTCCAAGAGGCTGCATTGATAAGACTTTCCTTGTCTATCTATTCCTGGAAGCCTACTGTGAGGGGGATCGGATTCCCTGACGCCTGACGCAATGATACTCACAATGCAGAGCTGTCTTGTAGTTTCTTAATAAACATTGCTGTTTGAACCATTTCCCCTCAATCCAGAGGATTAGGGAATCTAGGCAGGTAATGCACATCAGATGCAAGGCATTCCCACCCCATCACTTGCGTTCAGCAACATGAAAAAATGACTTGAAACGCAGAGGGGAACAGCCTTGCTGTGTTTTAAGCTGCTAATGTGATCATAGCCTGAGTGTTACATAGCAAAATCCAGAGACCTTTGAGCTGCGTATACCTAGTGGTTTTCCAGATAAAGCTCTGGTGCTGTTGAAAGTTGTTTTGCTGTGCCACGCACTTCCTTAACTTAAGGGCTGGCACTCCAATTGTTGGGGGACAATTCCCTTTGTCCCTGACCTCCGGCTATGGCTGGGGGAAGTTGGAGTCCAGCAATATAGCCAGAGATTAGCCACTCTGCCATGAACATTAGCATTAAGTAATGAAAAAGATAAGACAGATAAATGGCCAGGAAGCGAGGCAGTGCAAGACCTGTGTCCAGAATTGCGAGAATTGCACCTCTTTAAAGATAAAGCCTTTCTTGCGAGAAAACCAGAAATGAA